ATGTGTGTAGAGCAGCTAACTTGGATATCTGTGATGCTTCATTAATTAACCATTCAGATGCCATGTGCTCAGAGTGAAGGTTCATCAGAGCATTCCAGACCAAACCATCCTTCCTTCGGAAGGTGTCGCATGCTACAGGCAGCACCAAGCACCCTCGATGTCCCTGTTTCATGTGTTTCATGAACATGAAGCCTCCTGGAAGTAAGAACAAACACGTATGCAAACAAAAGAGTCAAAGAAAGCAAGTGAAGATACGTGAAGTCACTTGCTGAAGTCATTTGCTCACTTTCTATTGTCCTGTTCCTGCTTGCTCGAGGGTTGCCAAAAACCCCTCGTCGGGAGGCCTGGCGATAGAGGAGTTCAAACGTCTCCAGGCTGGTTGGAACATGTTGAGAAAATTTATATATACTGATTATACTGCAAAAGGATGGACTTGTGAGGCTTCAAACAGAGCCATGTAGCAAATTCACTTGTTGGATTTGAAAGAATGAGAATGACCTCATTGTACGCAAACTGCAAGAGACCTTGGAATGTGGGTCACATACCAACATGCTGGCGCACAAACCCCAGGAGTCTGATCTAAAAGAGCTTTTCTCAGCACTTGACATGGACTTCTCTGGTACAGAACTTTGGCTGCAGTCAAACTCAACTGAATTAGGATTTCATTGAAATGCTATGAGGCCAGGCCAGCAGTTGGGCCAGTTGCTGCGGCTTGATATTTCACAACAACGTCCCAGAGTTCCCATTTTCTTGCGGTCGAATGGTCCAGCTTTGTTGGTTCTCATTCTCGCAGACCTTGAAGCCTCGTCACCATTTATTTGATTGAACGATCTATATACTGCAGAACTCTGTCAAGCATTTGTATATGCAAGATAGCTTTTGCCGTTGGGGAGCGCATTGCTATTGCAGACGAAGACTTTTGCAAAACAAGACTACACAAACAGAACGGTGTGCACGTGAACTGTTGCAATTAATACATTGCATTTGACGGTGAGCGGAGCAAGGTCTCCTTCACAGAATTCGTACAAGGCATTCCGGATAGACGGACTGTATTTGTGTCAGAATGTCAGAGGCGTAAGAAGGAGCTCTATGGACAGAAAGCTTGAAGAGAAAACGACCTGAAACTGTGTCAGCACTCTTGTGCCAAGACTTCCAGATCCTTCCAGATGATCACTTTGCAGGCCTTGCCGCTATACGGGTAGCACATGAAAACGAGTTGCAGGTTCCGTGGCAAAAAAATCTGGGCGATCTCAATCGGGGACTCACCAGCCGCAAGTTACTGCAAGTTGCTCGTTGCCAGGAAGCTCAACATCAAGCCGAAGCCAGTCAGCAGTCTGCGAGATTTGTCAAGGACGACTTGCTACAACGGATAGAATCGGATAGAATTGTATGGAATCTTAATGACTCACAATGACTCACAATGATTCATAATGATTTGTAGATGTTGGGCTTTGCAGAGGGATGCTGAGCTTTTCCCCGTGTCAGATCATGTCAGATCATGTCGGATCATGTCGAATCATGTCGGATCATGTCTGATGCAGGATGTGATGGTGAACAGCGCCCCAGAAGGGAAGGATAGCATCACGGCCGAAGACCTGATCGAGCTGCCTGGCTTTTTCAGCCGGTTGGCTGTTGCAAGGAGAACTTCTTTCGATTGACCGATTGACCGATGATTTTGAGGCAAACAGTTGTAAGGGATGACCGTTGGTTTCGGCTGTTTTGGCATGAAACTTGAAACCTCATGTTTCCTCTCGTGCTCAAACTTCGTCAACGAACTTCGGTGTATGAATGAAGAATAGGGAACATGTGAATGTGAGCTGCATTGTGTGTTGAGATTGTATTCTATTGAAGTGCCATCAGCTCAAAGGTTTCCACTGAGACACCATGAATCCATCTAGCGCAGGCTTCTCCGCTTTCTTGACAGCAAAAGATGGACGGCACCGAAGCTCGAGAAACTGGTCGATGGGCTGCCATGGGACCGTGATGGGAATCTGCCCCTGGGTGTCCTGGCTGACTGTTTTTGACTGTGGTCGCCACTGCAGCTCACATCCAAGAAAATTCATAACCTGGTACCTAGGCCATTTGGTGGAACTGCTGCATCTTGGCTGCCAATCAGTACTAAAAGGATTCCCTTTTACTTCAAAGTACTGGATGATCATGTAAGACATGTAAAAGTGCTGCATTGAGGTACTAGATTAGATGATTATGACCCAAGCCGCTTGGAAGTGCACAGTGTGAGCACTGAACCGTGCACAATGTCCATGGAACATTGTGACGTATCGTGACATATCGTGACATATCTCCATGGCAATTTGGATCTGGTGAGGTGCCGCAAAGCCAGGCAATGCATGTCAAAAGACATGAACAAATTCATGAAAAACTTTGAAGCTCCCTGGGCTCCCAACTTCTCAGAAATTTCATGAATTTTCAGACATCTCATGAAATCTCCGAATCTGGAAGTTCTTTGGGCTGCCGGCAGAGCTGCCAGCAAAGCTGCCAGCAGAGCTGGGAACTTCTCTTGAGGCTCGCTAAAGGCGAGATCGACAGCCCGCTTTCGCATGCTCTAAAAAAGCTATTTGACAAAAAATTGACAAAATTCAACACATAATTTGACCCAAGAGTCAAGAATCATTGCGAATCATTCCGACAAGTGCAGCAACTGCTATATAGATCATGATATTGTTGTTTGGCTATTGGCTGGCAAGAGAGTCTCTAACGGTAACATACGGTAACTATCTCTAACTGTAAATACTTGTCGAATCTTGTCGATAGTCAAGCTCTTGTTGAACCACTGACCTTCATTTCATCCTTGAGGTGTACAAACGAGCTGATACACTGGCCCACCAAGAGCTTGGACCTCAACACACTTTCAAGTTCAACAAGGGAGATCATTCAATGGTTTGGTGATCTCGTCATTCAAGTTCTGACAAGGGAGAGTCAAGCAGTCAAGCAGGTTTTATGCAAGAAACAGCGACAGTCAAGATGATAATAGATGATCACGGCATCTCCAGAGGGGCTTGTGACGGCTAGTGACGGCTAGTGACCTTGCAAGCATCTTTTATCGTCTTTTCTTCTTGACAAGGCCATACAAATATGGCCTGCCGCCAATATATGCTGCCTCCTTGGTGTCAAATACAACTGCCATGCATGACATGCATCTTCAGCCTTCAGCCATTAATTACTTCACCAACTTTTTCACCCACTCTCGCATCATGAGTTTGTTCATTTGACTGGAAGCTTTAATTGAATCTTGGCAAATCGCCTTGCATTCATAAGAATTTTGGGATTGTCCCATGCACCCTACTCACTCTGTTTCCTCAATAATCTTATAGCATCTTATAGCTAATTAGGTGAAGGTGGCTTTCACCTGTGCAGTGTTGGCCTTTGTGGCACAGATGGTGCCCCTGGCAAACGACGGAGAGACCAACATGTTTTCTTATGCAACTTTTCTTTTCAGAATCTTTCAGATTCATTTCCTGAAATGGAGTTGCAGAGTTGAACCTTTGTCGCTCAAATCAAAGTCTTCGCGTGACTTGTTGGAATTCTGCAGCTAGAATGACTTGGTACATAGCTCAGTCCTTCACAGCAGCTATTCCAAGCCCTGAAGGGAGCTGACCACTTGAACACATTGTTTCAAACCATCTGAGAGTTAAATGGCTTCGATATGCTTCGCGCCACTCTGAGAAGTTTCGAACTTGTCACAGCCGGACAGGAACTTTAGTACCTGCATCAGCAATGTGTGATACTTCTTGCGCAGGTATTCTACATTGGCAGGGAGTGGTCAATTCACAAGCAAGTAGATGCCTGAGTCTTCTTTTGATGGAATGCAGCTTGAAGACTGAAGAAATAAAATGACGGGCCAAGTTGTGAAGATTGATGTTCAAATGTTCGTAGTATTTCATGTATTTTCAAGTTTTTATTTCTCCTTTTCACAAGAGTTACTGGCATAAACGCCTGCGATTTCTTGCATGTTTTTCTCAGGCAGGAATGCAAGTCAGACGAGCTTGCTGCTAAGTCGCCACTTATTAGATGACAGAAGTGCCGACATTGTGACATGTCAGGATCAGATGTTTAGCAGCTAGGCAGTGTTGGAAGCTGCAAGGTGCCGCCCTTCTGGAACAATCTCTTCAATATCTCCATGCCCAAGCCTAATCACCAGCTGCGGACCAGTCTGCATGCAATCCGTTTCTGCAGTTTTGCAGTGTTTCACCACTATGTACATATATATATATAATATACACACACACACATTATAGCAACTTGTGCCAAGGATTTTTATGTATTATGGCAATCGGCGTTAGTGTCTTCGGGCTGATTGAGATGTGCACATCTCAGGGACGGTGAAAAGCAGTCAGATAGGAAATATGTTGAGCTCGAATTGGACGCTCAAGACAGATTCAGAAAACACATGGAAACACAGAGTCTTGGAGCCATGGACTTTGCGACTTGGATTACTTTCTCCTTGCTGAATTCCCTTCTTTTGTGAAGGCAGCAGCCCAAAGAACTGGTGGAAGAAGGAGGTAGCCTGAGCCGAATCGAAAGTCTCGCTAAATCAATACAGAAGCGCACTTTCTTGGCTGCTTTTACTTCAAAGCAGCAAAACTGACACAAGAGCCAAGTTGTAGCTCTTCCAGTAGTCAGGACGGAAATACATATTTAGACAGTCTTTGTTTGATTGTTGTTGAATTTAGTGCTCACATGCTCTCAGACAGCTTAAATCCTTGAGGCGAAGTGCCACTATCCGCGGGTATCTTCTGCTCCAATGCCTTGCTAGTTCTCTACCTGTCCCTGTGCTCCAGGGCATAGATTCGCATTAGAGTTGGCAATTCATGGCAATTCCCAAACCATGAGCTTCCCAACAAATCCTGAATCCAACTGTGGGAAGGTACGCTGCTCTTCAGATAGCCTCCTCCTTAAGTCACTCAGTGGCTTTCCTTCTCCAGTCATGACCAGGCTGCTACAAATGCCTTATAGATGCCTTACATCTGATGGCAAATACAGTGAATTCAGAAACATTTGTTGGGAGTGTTGGGACAGCGTTTGTGTCTGAAGACAAGGGGTGCATAGGTACTGTGCATCGTCTCTGACTTTGTTTTGCCCTTTCAGTAATGTCGCATTTTTGGAGCTGTGTGATCTTGCCTGGCAGAACTCTGATAGACAAGTACAAATCTGGCTCGTGAAGAAGGGATGGAGATGGATGGAGTGAAAGCATGCCGAAACTTGAAAAAGAACTTGTTGCTACGGTCACGGTCCATCATTCTTCCTATCCAGCAGATTGGATCCACAAGTTGTGTTTCATTTGACTTTGCTTAGCAAGAGCTTCCTTAGCAACTCTGACAATGGGCAGGCGGGTAGGACATCAGACTGAGAATTCGCCCACAAACACAACCGCCCACACACACACACACAAGTAAAGCACACCTTATGAGGTTGAGACGCTAGGTAAAAAGACTGAGAAAGATCAGATGCCAAATCTCAGATCCAATGTATTATGTATTATCAAATTATATTATTATGCGCATAGAATGAAAGTGATGTCATGTGATGTCATGTGAGTCATGTGATGTCGCTTATGTCCAAGTCTTATGCACACCTTTCCCGAGGCCAAGACGCTGGATGTAGAATTTCGTGAGCGAGGCATGCTGTGAGCAAAAAAACATTAAACATCTTTAGAGTTTAGAGCCAAGATGCTTCAAGATGAGCCAAGTGACCCCACAATGATTCCACAATGATCCTGCTGTGAGCATCTTTGAGCTATCCTTGCTTTGGGGAAGGCTTGGTCTGAGGTGCATGTACCAGGTTATGCTCAAACCATTTCACTGGAACACCCCATACACTGTATAGTACAGCCGAAAAGCTGACAAAGCCAGGCACTCATGCTGCCTCTCTCACCGATCCTTCTAGGTGCCTTTGATGCTTTTTGGAACAGCATTTAATACGAGAAGGATGCACGGTTTTACACTATCCCATTGCAGAAACCGATCCGATTTTAAAGACAATTGGCACGTATTGACAAGCAACACATGTTGTTCGTTCCATCAAAGAACCATTCAGAGAGCGCAAGAAATGTTTGTTTGAGGTATACAATCGAGGTCTTGAAGATGGCGGCTGCAAGTGTGCAGACGGCTCCAATGTCCCGAGCTTTGGGCTGACGATGTGCTTCAGCTTTACTCCGTCAAGCTGTGAAAGCATGGCGGTCAACCGGCTATATAGCCATTTTCTATATTTTCTTGGCTATGCTTTGGACCGATTGACATTTGCCATCCCAAGTTGCTCACAACCTATAGAAAGGAGGCTTCCATCATCATTTCATCCAGGCGGCTCGATGATCTAAAGACAACCCCTTAGGTTTTCTTGCCATAGACAGTACTTTTCACAGATTGTTGTGCGGAAGCACACTAGCCGGAGCACCGTTCACAAATGGAAGCTTCCCGGAAGACTATCTAGTCACACTGAACACGAAGCAGTAACAAAAACTATTCAGAAACCAGGGTGCCACTGCTTTGCGAGCCTGCGCTTGCAGAGCATTTTCCAAGCCTGTCCCCTTGTCTAAGACAGGAAGGAACGGGTTGAACGGGTGTGTCTTGTCTCTTGCCATGGAGCAACGGGAGTCTGATCTTGCTGTTGTTTGCCGCCTGGCCCATGAGCATCTAAGCGATGGTGCCACACGGAATGATATTCTCAGGTGCACCATGGTGCGCCATTGTATGTCAACTGAAATGTTTCATTTGTGATATTTGTGTTTATCTGGAAGAAAACTGGTGTTTGGTGCAGTGCCCGTTTCCGCAAAAGCAGCTCCCATGGGCTTACCTTCGAAAGTTTCCTTGCATCCGGAAAGGCGGCTCCCACGAGACTTTCGCAGTGGCGTTGACGAGATTGTGAAGGACATGGTGGATCAAAAATGATCAAGATACGGTTTAAGGATGTTGAAGTTGCTCAGTGAGTGCTCAACATGTCAGTTCCGATTCAGTGGTTCTCGCTGTCCTTCGCCCTGTGACTCTTGCTTTGACATCCTGCAAATCCTATGCCGTTTGCCCGCAGGACATTCACACAAGCATAGAGGTTCCACCATTATTCACCACAAGTGGTGGAGTTGCTCGTCTGCGCGATTGCATGAAAGATGCTGTACTGTTTGGTTTTTGATTTGCGCATGCTACTGGAAAGAATCTGGGACCGCGGAAGCTCTGCAAACATCTGGGTCCTGGAAATTCAAATCGCAGGTCCTTTACCAGTAGTACCGCACAAGGCGGTGGCGGAAGTTTCAAAAATAGAAAACCTATAGGAGCGGTTGGTTGTTGTGAATCACGGATGGCAGAGCGAAGCCACTGATGGACCGAAAGGTGCTTGAGGTCTCCTCTCTTTCTCTCTCTTTCTCTCTCTTTCTCTCTGTTTCTCTCTCTTTCTCTCTCTTTCTCTCTCTTTCTCTCTCTTTCTCTGACTATCGACCTACCTACCTACCTACCTACCTATCTATCTATCTACCTATCTATCTATCTATCCATCCATCCATCTATCTATCTATCTATCGATCCATCCATCCATCCATCTCTCTGTTTGTCTGTCTCTCTGTCTGTCTGTCTGTCTATCTACCTGTCTATCTGCAAGCTTGAAAACGAAGCTTTTGTGCTTGACAACATCAAAAACACCGCAATTCTGCGAGACTTCCTCAATGTTTCGTCAAAAACGAACCAATTCTGCGAGACTTCGTCATTTTTCAAAGTTGACAACATCAAAAATGAAGCAATTCTGCGAGACTTCCTCAATATTTCAACTTGACAACTCCAAAAGTGGCGCGAACACGTGGTGTTTTGTACATTTTGACTTCGAAATGTGCTTCGCGCCACAACGGCGTGCACTTTTTCGACATCTCAACTTCCAAAAGTGGGAGCTGGCGTGTTTTGTACATTTTGACTTCGAAATGTGCTTCGCGCCACAACGACGGACTTTTTCGACAGCACAACTCCTAAAAGTGCTCCGAAGCTGAGGTGTTTTGTACATTTTGACTTCGAAATGTGCTTCGCGCCACAACGACGTGGACTTTTTCAACAGCACAACTCCTAAAAGTGCTCCGAAGCTGAGGTGTTTTGTACATTTTGATTTGGAAATGTGCTTCGCGCCATATTGGCGCGCAATTTTTCATCTCTCATCTGGCTAGCTGGCTCCGCACCCGCCGCTTTAGCGAGCCTACTTTTCGACCCTCCGGAGCCACAAGGCATTGGAAAAACACAGTGTTTCGCGACTTTCCTACCTTTTCGCGCACCTGGATCTTCTTTCTTCCGACTCTTTCTCCTCTGATCTTCTCTCTTCTACTCTTCTCTTCTCTCTGACTCTTCCCGTCTCTGCTTTTCATCTGTCCATATTGTCGGAAGTTTGACTTGTAAACTTGCTTCGACCATCACCACACCTTTTATATTTTGGATAGTCCTGCAGTTCTTTACCACGGGCTTCTGATTCCACTTTCCAGAACCCATTTTCAACCAATAGAAGATCATTGTGCTTCCTGTAACTGCCGTTTTTTTGAACATTGCCCCCTTTTTTGTGTTTCAACAACTTTCTCAATTTACCGCGTTTCTGAACCAAGACTCTCTCCTTTGTCTTCAAGAAGTTGCAGCCTTACCAAATTTTGTGCTCGTTCATCGTTGTTCACACGTGCTTCCAGAGTTTTCCTGACACTTGTTTCGGCTTCCTGAGACACTTGACAACTCTCTTCACAGCACTTGTGAATTGGCGAGGCTAATAACCTACCAGACACAACAGAATCATCACCAACCTCCAGGTCGTCTCCAACGATTCACAAGTTTTAGTGCAAGAGAAGCGAACAGCTGTGACAACTTCCATGCAAAACGAGTTGTTTGCGAGCTGTTGAAACTTTGACTGCGCCACAATGGCTGCACTTTTCTTTCCTTTTGGGGCAATTTCATGCAAAATCAGCTGTCAAGGTTGCACGGCCTTTGTTCTGCCGGCATTTCCTTGTTTTCAACTGCCAAGGAAGACGTGGGCTTGTTGCAGTCAGGGAGCTGTCAATGATGAGAGCATTCTTCCTGAAGAAGTCGATCCGTATTTAAACTTTTTGCGACATCTCATGTACTACCATGACAGATGGTCTTCCAAACTGTGGGGATCTGATGCATTTCTTGAAGTGATGGTCCAGACAATCCGAAAACTGGAGAGTTTAAAGCGAGACACTTCTGACGCAAGACAGAAATACCTGAGAGTCTTGGAACATATCAGCGATGCTTCCAGTGAGTTGCTTGATCATGCACTGCGGGTCACAATACTGCTTGTCAGCGACCAGCACGCAGAGCTCGAGCAGCTTGTCGCCAAAGAAGGTCCGATGACGTTGAAATTCCTGGCTCAGCCTTACCATAGGCACAACTCCCAGTTTTGGTCTACAGATTTGGGTCAGGTTTTACACGCGGCATTGGTACGATCAGATCCACAACGGTTCAAACCTACGGGCACTGGAGATACTGAGACTGTCACAGCTGCTCGTATTTGGACTTTGTGGACTGATGAGCTGCGAACGCCGAAGAGATACGAATACTCGAGCCCGGAAGAAGCGAGACAAGTCTTTGAACGGTGCAGGTGTTGCACGATCCTCGTTGGCCCCGAAGGCAAGATACAGGAGAAAAGCTTTGCTGCTGGACAGATGCTCGCAAAGGCCTTGCTGTTGCTTCTTGCGGTGGATGTTCAAATGATACAATAAGTGATGCTCAAATTCATTTGCGTTTGAGATCTTTGAGATTCTTTCAGTCAGTTGCAGCAACAGCAAGGGCCGCAGTTCCCAGATTTCGGCCACAGGTCTTGCAAGAGGATAGCACTCTGCGGGAACTCAACCGTGTCTTTTCTGATTGACGGACAACGACCCGTTGTGTTCGAATCAGCAGCTTTATCTTCGCATGTTCTGAATCTTGACTACTGTCTCTGACTGAGGTAGAGTTGACCAGCACATTGCTTTGCAAAGGGCAGCTTTGGGACTACCACCACCTGTGCAGGCAGGACTAGAGCTTCATGGCGTCATGTTCCCACAGAGCACTCTGTGGCCCCTTCGTAGGTGACTGCCATAGAAGCTTTTCTGGAAGAGCCTGGCACGGTTGCAGCTGAGAACGTTGAAGCGGAAACTTATTGGTGACCTGGCCTCGTGACATTTTTTGAATTCCTTTGACATGTTTTCAATGCTTCGCAAGTACACGAACACTTGCAAGGTCTTGTGGGCACAATGTCCAGCAAGTTTGAGATTTTAGCAGCTCAAGATTCTAAAAAGTTACAAGGAAGACGTACTCAGTTTCAAAGATAAGGCATGATGCAGTGCAGAAGGCGGCCTGGGCATTTGCACTGTTTCAGCTGTGTGGTGTTGCGTATCAAATTGCACTTTGGTGTAGTGAAGCTGTTTCAGGTCCGGGATGCATGGATGGCAGGACAAATAGAGGCTACTGGTGTGGCGGAGCTTTTCCGTGGTGGCAAGAAGGCCAAGAGATTTCCAGAGATTGTGTTGCTGTTGCGTTTTTTTTTGCAGTATGTCGCAATTGCCTTTGCACAGTTTTACATAGTTTTCCCACGTCTTCGGGGTTTGCGATGGCTTTGCTTGACTGCACGAGCTCTCACCAGCTCTCACCAGCTCTCGCAGGTCAAGTGGGTTGAAGGTGTTTTCGAGAAAGAGTCCAAGTCATCAGACTTCCCAACAATTATTCTGGACAGTTTGATCAGTTTGCAGTTGTCCCATGCTGTCTCCCTCTATTGCTTGTCATTAAGGTCATGAGTCATGACATATATTTGTTTCATTTTGTTTCTGTCGTTTCATTCATCGATTTCTCCAAGCACGGAAGGATTTGAGCAAGGCATTTTCCGACTTGCTCTGCTGTCACAAGGAGGCATCCGAGTTTGCAAGTCTAGTTGGTTTGCTGCTGAGATTTTGGGATGTTTTGGGTCTATTGCACTCTGCATTTGACTTGCACATGCTAAGTGGAAGGTGATGTCTGCTGTGCGTGGCATGATCAGTGAAGGTGAGGTTTGCAGGGCGGACTTGCCAAAGGATCAGTGTTGTGCTAGAAGTGCCCAATGAATCAGTAGATGAATGAAGCAAAATGCAGCTGCCTTGTGTGTTACTTGCTGCAAAGACCGACTTTTTTGTCCAGCTGGCCCTTGTGCAGGTGGTAGCAAAGAAGCATTGGCGGCCATCTATGCTTTGCGGCAGAGAAGCACAATCACTGGGCAGCTAGATGTGACTTGGCAGCTACTGGCAGCTTCTCATGCGGGATATTATATATTATACATATAATACGTGTATATATGTATATATATATACATATGTATATAGTCATTCCTTTCTTTCCACTTTGAATGCTTGATTATTGTGTTTGTCCTTTGTTGCGTCTGAGGGATGTATGCAGAGATTTATGGCGAGTGCCAACCTTCTTCACGGTTTCTACGAGCATCTCTTCTTCGAGAGCATCATGCTTGCACTTGTAGAAAGGGTGGATTCAACGCGTTCAGAAGAGCCTGCTAGCAACTTAATGCTTCGATATGCTTCGATCATCTCTTCATGTATTCATATCTCTTTGCGTCTCAGGCTTAGAAACCAACAAAAAGCTGAAGGGCCAAACTGTCGCTTGGCCGAGAAAGAGATGATTGAATGACACGCTAGAGACAGTGTGACACGGCGTGGGTCGCTCTGTATTGCCTTATATATATACTGTATATATATATAAAGGTTGTTTAATTTGAGAAAGACAACCCTGTTGGACTGTGAACATATTTTGCGGGAGGCATTGCCATGCAGATTCATTTGAGGCCCCCATGCAGCGACTGTACTTTGTGCCTTGGCCATACAGGCTGCATTCTGACTGTGTACTTTTCATTGAAGGACTGTTCACGGCAAGATTTCGGCGGATATCAATATCTCAATATATCAGAATATATCTATATACCCTATGATAATGCGTTGAGTTTTTGAATCTAGGGGTGTTACCTGTTTGCGGAGATGACTGCAGAATGGATGAAAAATGGGTCCTCCGTATTGAGAAAAGAGAATACTTCCAAAGTTGTTGAAACATGTTGAAACCAATCTCTAGAACAACCTCTCTCTTTCGTGATTCTTTTAAATGACCTCTCCTTGACAACTTGGCAGGCTTGCGCCAGCACCCGTGTTGTTGTTTCTAGTCCTAAATAAAAGCCCATGTGATCTATGTGGCCGTTTGTAGATCTTGTCATTGATTTGCATCTACCGCCACTCAGGAAAGCATACATGCCTGCAGCAAGCTTCGTGATGATATCCTTACACAGTGGCACAAACTTGGCCTGCAGGCAGCGAGACTCTTCATGTTTGTGCCCAATTTGAGCAGTTAAGCTTAGGATAGTATGCTCTGTGGATCGACCGTACCATTGGTTTGGATTCACCTTCCTTCTACTGTATGGTTATTTTCACTTTTTTCAGGGAGGGCTGGACTGAAATCAACAGTTCAACGTGAGGGATGCTTATATATAATGTAATATATCACATATGTAATATAGAATATATAATATGTTATATTATATATGTAATATAGTATATATATATATAGATGTATATATGAAAACACATCATTGTTTTCCAATCTCAGCAATTTTTGCACCGGACAATGGATGGTCATAGCTCCAAGGATCCTGCCATGGGACAATATGGGACACATGAACTCACAAAACCTTTGCTGAATCAAGCAGGTCACCGACGATAATTTGGCCGAGGAAGCCAAACGTGACCTCTTTGCACTAAGTGCTGGGGCAATTGTTGAAGGACTGGAGGCAGAACATGTGGATGGTACCAGCAAGTCCCTGAAAGCGGTAGAAGCTGAGGCATTGACATGACTGAAAAGGCAGCGTTTTGCAAACTAATGGGCACTTTGGTCGCATCAAGTGTCAGCAGTTGAGCAACTCAGCCTGTCCAATGGGGTTCAACGATATCAGATGGCTTCAGGATTTTTAGGTTTCACATTGAATCAGCATGAAAAAACTTTGGAGGCATGCCTTCTCCGACTCTAGCCATCACCGGAGGCTTCTCAGATATTATCGTTCAGTGCGACATCATGCGACATTCATTGTGGCAAAAACATCTAAAATCTACGAACCCCTGCACTCGTTCGCCATCGTTCGCTATTGTTTTCACGATCTTCAAGAGAGGTTCCGGACAGCTCCTGCAACTTCCAGACGCGGAGAAGCAGGTGGCTCGTTGTTGAGATCTTTTTTTCAGACTGCTTTGCAGACCAAGAAAAGATTCAGAAAAGACCAAAAGAGCAGACTAATGATTGACTAATGCAAGATAATGAAAGCAGTAGAAACCGAAGCAGCGAAGAGATGCGAAGAGGCAGGGACTGAGATAGGTCACAGGTCTAACAAGGTTGTGACTTGTGACAAAGGTCGAACAGACACCTGGCCAGGCTGGAACATCACCAACTCAGTCCCCTCGAAGCGATACGCAAGGTGGACCCACTGCATTCGCTCCAAGGCCACGTGTGGAGGACCATTCCAAGTCGGTTTCCGAGTTGGTTTCCGAGTCGCATCAAAACTTCACAAGGTCCAGCATCTCCAGCTCCAGCAGAGTGTTTGTAGACAATCGATAGTTTCCCAGTATGATCCTCAAAGATCTTCCAGACTGTATCACAATGTATCAGAAACATCCAGATCCTGTGAGGAACTCAAAGCAGGTGAAAGTCCAAAAGAGAGCGACTCTGGAGATGACTTGGCCGAAGTGTTTCGATGAAAGAACAACTTTGGCATCAGAATACAACAGAATACAACCCGCTGAATCGCTGAATTTACACATGAAGCTTGCCACCGAGACCGCTGGAACGAATCGGATTGCGAAGGATAGGATGCTCACGGTGACGCCAAGAACTGCTAATGACGATGCGAAAAAATATTGAAAATCCGAGAAGATGACCGGTGCTTGTCCTCTGCTGTCTTGTTTTGTCCAGTGCAGAAGTTGAAGGAGTTGAAACTTATTTATCTTTCTTGTACAATCTTGTACATATTTAGTGATTTTAGTGTTACTTGCACTGGGCTCTTTGACACAACTTGAATTTGTATGAAACAATGCAGCCTTTCAGATGCCGTTTCAGTGTGAAGCTTGTCAGATGGCCTATTGATCAATGAGGTTGGCAGTTGCTTGCATTGCTGTTCAGCTTACAATTGAAGCTCGCAGCGAGAAGTTACCAGGCTAGAAGAAGCGTGACAATTCACAACGCAAGCAGTGAGTCCAAACCGAAGATGTGGGATTCCAAAGATCTTCATATGTGCACTGGCAGCCATGCTTTTAGACCGATTCATGGTGCAGACCAGTTCCCTCTTCAATTGGTGGAATCCTATGTTGCCAAGTCTGGAGTCTTGATGTGTTTTGTATGGTTTCTATTGCTTTCTTTTGTGTCCCAGCGTCAATTGACAAAATGCCAGGTGTCGTGGAGACCGGGATGTACTTGAGTTGCTTCGCTTTGTTCTTGCAGGCAACCGCAATCTCACTTGCACCTTGAAATTGCATCCTGATTCCGCTACTTTCCTGTTCAAACATGCAAAGACTTCGTACTTTGAAAGGCAATGGTCTGCATCATTACGCCCTTCATCACAAACTCTGAGTTGAAGGCACGTATGTTGAATGCAGTTGTATGCTCGCTGCCTTTCGGTTGACTGCCTTTGAGACGAGAGCTGGTTGCCTGCACTGATACAGAAACAAAAATTGAGCATGCTTCGCAAATACTCAGTTGAGCATGATCTTGGTCGACAGGTTGTTCGAGGGACGGCAGAGACACCTGATGTAGTGGATTTCGCGACTGGTCATCCGCAAATGTGGGCGCCTCGTGCTCTTCATTTGCAGTGCTAAAGGGCATTGCATGATAGTCGGCCAATCGCCTTGGTTGGCACTGGCTGCATAGTCGCATGTCAATATATGTCACCTGCCTGCAAACCTACTATACCAATCTATACCATACAATACCCAGTCCATCCCAGTCTTCCAAACTCTCCCTCTGTCTATTGGCAGGTTCAACCTCATGAGCGGAATACGATGGATTTGCACGGCAATCCTGTGACCTGATGTGTACTTTACGTACTTCATTACCTTTCCGTTGCACTTTTGAGACTACATGATCAGGTTTCTTCAACTCAATTTGAAGCGAACCCTTTCCCGTCGCACAATAGGTACGTTGGAGTTGCTATCACCTGCGCATATCTTTGGAGTGCAACACTCAGAGCGAAAACTCCCGCAAAGGAATGGAACGGAGTGAAAAGGAAGCGATTTGTGCAGTTTTGTGAATGTCTATATCTCTTGGACTTTTTTTTTTCTCCTCATTGGCATCACTGGCATTGCAGAATCCTTTCTGAGTGGATCGAGGCCAAAAAGATGCTCCAGCGTGGGTGATCCTGGCGACCCCAGCGCTATTTCGAACTTTCTCTGCTCTGTGGTAATCTTTGGCAATGCAATGCTTGGTAATGTTTGGCAGTGCTTCGCCGTGAAAAGTAGTACTGTAGTTCTCCTTTCAGTCTACACGCGCCCATCACATGGCATTGGCCAGGTGATGCATCTCATCACGTACTTTTTCACAGTGATGTGGCCGCACTTGAGAAATCTACCTTCCATTTCGGCCATACCGCACTGGTACCGATTGTGATTATGACTATGAGAAACTGTGACACTTTATTAGCGAAAGCTACTGCTCAATGACGCAATTTTTAAGTGTTTTTTTTTCATGTTTTTTTCCGCCACTTCAACCAAGGTTCACTTGTTCTTGTGGCTCTGCTTCACTTTGAGGCCTTGCACCAACAACACTTTCCCCTCTAGTAGGAAGAACATGCATGATGTCACCTCTTCTTTGAAACAAGTTGATTCCATGAAGTCTTTGCCGTCGCAAAAGCGTCATAAGGCACATTATACTATTTTCTACTACCTGAATTGGAGACACTTCACGACCGATTCTGATGATGATGACGATGATGATGATTGTAAAACTCAGTTGAACTGTCTCTCACTCTGTACTGACAATCTCCCTGTAGCCCAGCAGCTCTACCATGAGCTGCACTTTTGACTGTGTACGCTCAAGGGCCCTGTATTGAGCCAAGTCATGAATGTACCAAGCCAGGTATGTACCAACTCCAGATATACACAACTGTACACAACATATACATGCATGGCGGCGTCTGTATTTAACACCCCCTCTCGACACACGCATGTACTGGACACAAGCACCACCAAATGTTGAAATGCAACTGTATTAACTTTTACAATCTCAGCCAACTAGTATGTACGCCCAACTTGGGTCGTACTGTACCTTGAGGCCCCAAAGTGAATGCGTACATGTACTGTGGTGTACTGTCTAGATATAGCGTACAAAATCTGCACCAGCTACTCGCATGTATCAACATCATGTATCAACAGCGCTTCACTAATTGTAATTCCCCTCAGCTCTCAGTTCCTGTACTTCAGGGATTTTCAGCTGTAGTCTCATCAGCCGCAGTGTCCATGGCAGCGAATGTAGTTCAGGTGGCTGTAGTGGCTGGAGCTGCAGCCATGGCTGCCACTTTATCCCTCATCTGTTGAGATCCCAAGTTCTCTGCCTCATTGAATTGCCTTTTCAAATGTACAGTGAATTGAGCTGTGTAATGTAGCAGCGCCCTCTGTAAATCATCTGCATGTGTCATGCCAGTGCCGTACCAGAGTGGTACAGACTCGATGAAAGGCCAGCATGTTGAGGGTCAGTGCCGGGCCTGTTGATCACTGTACGCACATTCAAAGGCACATGTTGGGTCCAGGTGTACCCATTGGTAAAGCTGTAGCGCTGAAGAATTTGCATCCAGTTGGCGCGGATCCTGAGCACTCGCTGCGATCCATGCTCCGTAGCGTGGAACATGTACGCAGGTTCACCCTGGTACATCAGGCTGAGAAAGCCTCTTCTGTTGAAAGCTTTGCCCCAGCCATGGTACACATTGGTGAGAACCTTGTGTGTATGGGGTACAAACATCACCATGTAGAAGACGGCGTGTATGCCACGACTCCTGTCGCAATGCACCACAGCATGTAGATCGCAGCATCGTGAAAGCTGCAGTGCCAGGATGTAAATCCTGTGTTGTGGTGAGTATGTTGGGCGGTTGGCAAAGTGCCATCGTCGATCGACTGGGCGTTGTACTCCTGCTGAGTCGTTGCCACAAACATGTACTTCACACCCTGTGCCTCGGCATGTTTCACGGTTTCTTCCCATGTACGTTGGTACACATGTACCGGCTCCACCTCGAGAGACTGTTCCATCTCTCCTTAGTCGGTGGGGGGCCCACAACGACGAGTAGGGCTGCACCTCACCGCAGTTCAAGCGCTGAGCCATGTATACTGAGACTGTTCAGTCCTGTGCCTGACGCTGGGGCTTGTACCGCTAGGACGGACGGCACGGCCAGCGAAATTCAAACTGTATCCATGCAGCAAACAAAGTTGTACAAATTCTCAGGAAGCATCTTGTACATCTCAAACTTACGTAGTGATCATGTACTCGAAAACTTAAACGTGGAGACATGAAAGTCCTAGACTGTATCATGTAGTCCCCATGTACTCGTTAAACACCGTGACTCAGATGGCGAGGTGAAAATGACAAAGGTGACGAATGAACGTGTATGTCTTGAGGTCGTGAAACGTGTGCACGTCAAACTCCGCATGCTGCAGGCATGTATTCATACATGCATGCTTATTTGCTGGTGTGTGAAACGGCGTTAGCTGTGTAGCTCCTCAGCTATCTGGTTGAACCTCTGTAGCTGTATCTCTCCTCAGCTACCATGGTGAAACTGTTGCAGCTGTATCTCTCCTCAGCTCTCTGGCGGACGTATGCCCGCTTGGTACAAGTGCCATTGTAGCACTTCTCTTGTAACATACTTTGTCAGTATATCAGCTGGATTGTGCTTGGTGTTGATCTTGTGTATCACAAGGATACAGTCGTGGATGAGGTGTTGGATGAACATGTACCTCAGTTCAATGTGTTTGCCTCTCTTGGAGACTCCGATGCGTGCCGGACGAGCTGTCCGTGTGTATCTTGAGATTGATTTTGCTTGTAAGAACTTCTCCATGGAAATTCTTGAGGTGTAGTGCTTCTGTTGCTCTTGTGCCAATGGCGTAGAACTCACTCTCTGCTGATGAGAGTGCTACGACTGCTTGTGTACGGGATCCAAAGGGCACTGTTGCACCCAAGAATTGAATCACGAAACCTGTTGTGCTCTCTCGTGTAAGGTGACAGCCGGCCCAATCGGCGTCCATGTGCACGTTCAGGTCAAGTGGTTCCTTGTTTGTTGAAGTGAGTTGTATTGCTGGTTGTATCACAAATTTGTGAGTTGCTGTGCCTGCCAGATAGCGTAGGCAGTGTCGGAGACGCTGCTTGTCCCGAACTGTAGGTTGCTGTAAGCAGCGAGCCAACTGCTTTACTGCAAAGCTCAGGTCAGGTCGTGTGTATGAGGGCCATTGTAGCTTTCCGACCAAGCGTCTGTATTGGGCATGTCTTTTGCTTGTCGAGTAGCTCCTCCTGTTCAGGTGTGGATGTGGAAGTTGTTGCTCCTGGTGTAGCTAACTGCTGGTGTCGCCTTGAGTAGGTGGGCTTCTTGTAGTATGTCGTTGGTGTAGCTGCCGTGGAGTGGATTTCAAAGTGGTCTCCTTTGTTTGTAATTCGGCGACCAAGGAAGTCGACTGTCTTGCCTGTTGTACAAGTGCCTGTGTGTCGCAGTAACATCTTGGTCTGTATCTCCTTGAAGATACGTGTGACCTCCTCAGGTTCGCCGATGAACAAGAGGGCGTCCACGTAGACCGTGATGTACACATTGCGGTTGGTGTAGACGTTGGGCTCCGACTGTAGTCGTTTGAGACCGAGGTCTGTAAAACCTTGGCCAGGTGTTCCAAGCCGTACATGGCTTTGTGTAGTCCCCACAGGATGTTGGGGTTGGTGTAGTACTCTTTAGGAGGGCGAAGTACTAGGCCTGCCAATGCTGCCACTCCATGTAGGAATGCTGTGGATATGTCACCCACTTGTACAATCCAACCTCTAGCCATGCTCAAAGCCAGTAGTATCCTGAGCACTACAAACAGTGGTGTGCTTGCGTACACATCATCCTGGTCTTCGATGTGTTCTGTGTATCCTTTGGCTACAATCCTTGCTTGTACCTCCAGCTGCACACGATGATGTTGTCGAGGTCCAGTTCTTGTCGCTCTTGTGGTGTGACCTTTGTAATGTCAATCTCTTCGTACACCTTCTGTGTTCTCATTGATTCCGTTTCCTTTTGCATACCTTCCTTGAGCTTATCTGCATCGAAGCCTTCATTGTTGTAGATGTGTGGCTCCAGGAGTCTTTGTTATGCTCGTACTTCTTGCGCATCCTCGCTTGTTGCCGTTGCAATCTTCTTTCCGCTCTTGAGTTGTACTGTCACTGCGTTGATCCTTATTTGTGGCTTCTTTGCTTGCTCTCCTGATTCCCCTGGTCTTGTAGCTGCTTGTTGTTGGGTGGTTTCTTCCCTACTTTTGCTTGCGCTACCTTCATGTATCTGGTCATCCAGTGACCTGCTTGTAGTGGGTGGTCTGCTGACCGGTGTTGGTGAAGTACCCAGTCTCATCGTAGTGTGGGTAGTCGATGTTAGTTCTCCTCCTGTTTTCTGTTTCTTTGTGTCTTCTGTTCTTGCCTTCTTTGCCTGTGCCTCATCTGTTGATGCTGGTGTCGTGTCATCACGTTGTTGTGTATAGGCCTGGCTGCAGGAACAGTTGTCCTGTCCTGCGACGAAGCTTGGCCATGTTGGTTGGTTGTCTCTGCCTGCTGTGCTTGTTCTGTACTTGCCTGTGGTGCTGGCAGTGGTGGTAGTAGAAAGGCTGGTTGGAATCCAAGTGGTGATGAAGGGTTCCACGGTGTACCTTTCACTGTTCCTAGCATTTGTTTGTCGTACCTTGCTTCTCCTGCGACTCTCCTCACTGTACGTGCTCGTACCACTCTGCCTGCAACACCTACGAAGGATTCACCATGATTCACCTGTTGATGTACACTTTCCTAGCCAAGTACCTCTGAAGAACCTTGGCTCCAAGTTTGGTCGTTGTTGGAGTGTAAGGACCATGTACATTACAGTTTCCCCAAATTCACACAGGGCTGTGTTGTGTGTACGTCCCCATTGTGCTTGATAGCTTGTGTGCCCACCAGCTCTGATGAGAAACCTGTTGATCAGGTATGCTGAGTGTCGTACTGCCCATGCCATCAGTGGATGGTCTGTGGGGATTTGTATGTTGTAGTTCTGCTGTACCTGTTCTCTGAGTTTTCTGATTTGTCCTGTCAGTGTACGGTAGTACCTTTCTGTACGCAGGCGAAAAGCGTACTGCCATGTTGCCACATGCTTTGGCTGTTGCTTTGAGTAATGCTATCAGGTACTCCTCCTTGTCGCTTTGTAGAATGCCTTCTGTTCGGCCACACTTCAAAAGGAATGCTTGTAAACAGGTCTGCGCGTAGCTGAACTGATTGTGCTTGCCTGTAATCACTGCTGCCATTGCCATGCCTGTTTGTATGTCGATTTCTGTAAGTACCGGTGTGTGAAACTTGTCACCGGAACTGGTGATGTAGGTGAAATCAACTTGTACGATTGGCTGCCGCGATGTCTGCTTCGGGTGATTTGCTTGCCTGCCTTTTGCTTGTACGCAGAATGTGTGTGATGTTGCGTTCCTGTATTTCCTGTGGTGTCGATTGCGTTGGCATTGTCATTGCCTTTGCTTGTGTTGCCATTTGAGGTGTATCGTCTTCAGTGATCACTGTACTCCATGCTTTCTTCAAAGCTTGTGGATCCTGTCCAGTGTTCGTCTTCAATTCTCCTGATGTTGTGCTCGGAGTGTATGTTTGTGTATCGTGTTGGTAGAAACTTGTTGATGTCTGGTCCAGTGTCTTCAGGAGTTGGTACGTAGAATTCTGTTCTGGGTATCACATGTACTCTCTTCCAATGTCTTTCTTCTCTGATCCAATAGTCTGTTGTGCGTTGCACTTTCTCTGGTGGTGAAAGTGTTGTCTCCTTTTCAGGTTGCTTGCCTGTATGCCTCATAAGCACTGGTGTGCTAGTGCTTTGCTTGCTCTGTGCTTGCTCTGTGCTTGCTCCTGCTGGATCCTCGTTGTACCTTCCTTTTGTTTAGGAAGTATCCTGAACCATGTTTCTCCTTGCCAAAGGCCTCCTGTAGGCTCTCTGTTCCTCTTTTCCTTCGTCAAGTTTTGTGCTGATCCTCCAGTACAAGGGGCTCCTGCTGTTCTCCGTGGATACCTGTTCTTCTGTAGTTGTCAAACCTGTCCAAGGGTGCTGGACATGTAGATTGCTTGCCGTGGCCTGGTGTGAACATTGCTTTCCTGCCTCGCTTGTGTACTCCAACCAGGTACCCTTGCTCGTTGTACTTCCAATAGTTGTTTTTTCCTCCTTGTTGTACACGTGGTCCAGACGGTGTAAGGCCATGTGTCGGTGCAATCATTGCTGCTTGTCCTTTTGGTGTGTTTCTGATGACCAGGTTGTAGCCTTGCTCAAGGGGTGCGAGTTCCAGGTGCATGTATAGGAGTTGGTTCTTCTTTGTGAGTGGTACCTTGAAACCTTGTCCACGTGTAAGCGTTGGCTCTGTACCTGTGAGTGTGAGGCTAAAGCCTTGTGCCAGCAACCTTGTAACGCTGACGATTGGGTGTTGCATCCCTTCACACACGTAAAAGGGAATCACCATTTATTTTCCTTGTCTGTTGTAAAACCTCATCCATCTGTACCCAAGAATCTTGAGTGGCTCATCTGTGACTGAGCGCAGTAGTGGTGTCTCCTCTGGTGTAAGTTTCTGTAGTGGGAAGTCTGCACCAAAGCTAGGTGAAAACTACAGAAACCTGTAGTCTGCACATGTACTGAACTGACGCTGCAAACACTTCTTCAACCTTCACTGAAGAAACTGCCTGTGCCTGTTGCAAGGTTGGTGCTTGTTGTCGTTTTACTCTTGTGCCTGTTGCTCTGGAAACCATTGTTACTCATACTGCCATGCTTCTTGTTCATTCCATTGTTGGTAGTGTGGGTCATACTGTTGTTGGTTGTACTGCTCCTCATAGTAGTGTTGTTGGTCCATGCTTTGTTCTCCTGTCGCTTCTGCCACGTTGTGCACTCGTACACGGCAATCTCTTGCCATGTGACCCATCTGTCCACATTTGTAGCATGCTCCTTTGCCCTTTCCTTTGTCTCCTTGCCATGTAGGGGGTCCTTTACCTTCTGTCTTTCCTTTGACTGGTGTGTACCCTGATCCTTTGAACGCATTGCCGAACCAATTGGTGTTTGTGCTTTCCTTTGTTGTGCCATTGTGTCTTTCCTTTACTTTGTCCTTTGTAGCTCTTTCCTTTGCCCTTGCTTTCCTTTTCCTTTGCGCATCAGGCCGATGTCCATTGGTTGTGGGCCTGTTGAACCTGCACTTGTGTTGAGTGCTTGTTGTTGGGCTTGCATCTTGGAAAATGCCGTGCTTGCTCTGCGATACTCAAGAATGAGCTCGCGTACATCAGCATAAAGCTGACTTGTACCTGCTCGGAGTTGCAGGTATTAGTTGTAGTGCTCCTTTTGTTTCATTGAGTGGTACTGCAATTTTGATGTTGTTTGGTATTGGTGCTTGGTTGTCCCTTTCGTATGGGGCGATTTCAAACTCCCATGTTGTAAATGACTCTTCAAACTTCTGTTCGTTGAATTGTGGCTTGAGTAGTTTTGTACAGTATCCTACACTGCATGTACCGACTGGTATCGAGAACCTGTTGAGTAGTTGCCTCCCGGTCTCCAAGCCTTGTGCTTGTGTACTGTGCTGTCTGCACAGTAGTGCTGCTTGTCCTGAACAAACGCTGACCAGTATGTAGTCTAGGTCTCTACTGAGTTGTACCCAAAGTTGTGCTTCTTGTGGTGTAGTTGCTCCATCTCTAAGGAGGGCATCTGTAACTTCCATGTTGGATGTTTCTGCTGTTTGTAGTAGTCGCGGGAATTCTGAGTTTTATAGTCCAAGGTAGGCTACCATCTTGTGCTTCCAGTCCTCAAATGTTGCATAGTCTCCTGTGAAGTATGGCGGTTGTAGTTTGTACCTGTGCATTGTTGTGCTCTCTCAACTGCTGTTGCTTTGTTGCTTTGTGTATTGGATCACTGCTCCGCTACCATGTAAAACTCAGTTGAACGGTCTCTCACTCTGTACTGACAATCTCCCTGTAGCCCAGCAGCTGTACCACGAGCTGCACTTTTCACTGTGTACGCTCAGGGGCCCTGTATTGAGCCAAGTCAAGTACCAAGCCAGGTATGTACCAACTCCAGATATACACACCTGTGCACAGGTGGACATGTACATGCATGGTGGTGCCTGTATTTAACAATGATGATTATGGTGATGATAATGGTGATGATGATGCTGCTGCTGCTGATGATGATGATGATGATGGTGGTGGTTGTGATGGTGATGATGACGATAATAACAGGGAGGATGAGGAGGAGGATGAGGATGAATGTTTTCAAAAGTGTTTCTGTGGGTGTCAGAGGAGTAAGACGTTTTCAGTGCGAGCAGGTCCGTCAGTGGTGGATTGATGGATGCGCTGAGGACCTGTTTGCATCATGCATGGTTTCTTTGTAACTCGCTGACAAACTTGATGCAGTTGAGGCGGTGAACGTGGAACCAGAAGTGAAACTGCGACTCATGGCAGTTGATCCAACGTTTGATGACACCACCTTTTCTTCAAGCATTTCACCATTTGCTGGAAACAAAGCAGTGCTCTTCAATTTCAGCTGTTTTCTCACGCAATCCTGAAGGATTCACAATGTGTCAGCCTCTTGAACACGTTGAGTTTGATCTCCTTACAAAATCTTGCAAACTGAATCAAAACTGAATCAAACTGAAAACTTGAAGTAGCTCATGGCAATGCCATGGTGGGTTGCATAAGGGGGTCCTGGGTGCTGACAACAGGAGGCTGTTGATGGTGAGATTGCCGAACAAGTTGAATGGACACATGATATGGGAATGAGGGTGAGAATCTGGCTGTTGCGCTAGGACATTGACGACTGCGAAGGATCCCACCGACCTGCTTTACGTGCTTTACCAATTTGAAAGATTTCAGTGAAAAATCAATGGACCTGCTTGGATCCAGCATTCGTGTGGAATGCAGGATGCTGTTTCCATTTGCCCCATGCTTGCCGTGCTTTTCATTGAGTGCTGGGCTTCACACTCAGCATGACTTCTCAGCAAGGTCTTTTTCACCCTCAAAAAACACATGAAATAAATCATGTTCACAGCCACGGTCTGCGGTGATCGTATCGTGGCTAGAGGGTCGACACGTTCTTCTGTTGCAATGCAAGGTATCAGCGTTGGATATAAAGACACCAACTGGCGCGCTTGTTGCTTAGAGAAACAAGGTCTCACACATGTTACACGGATGAAGGACCGTCGGAACTCGGGCAGGGCACTTGAGTCATCTCGAGACATCTCGAGTCTTTGGCCAAGGCGAGGAGTGCCTCAAGGCTATGGTCAGGACTGCACTGTGATCTCATACTCTCAGGTGCCTTGAGTTGCGATCATGGCAGCATGCTACCAGTAGGGTATCTTGATATATCATGAATTATCTTGATATATTTTGATATATCATGATTCAATATATATCTTCGTGTATATGTTATTCCATATATGTATATATATGTATATATATATATTACGTATATATGATATGTATAATATCTGGTTTGCTTGATGACTTAATCTTTGCCTTCACGCATGCTATGAAGGACTACATGTTTGTCGCTACCTGGGCTTTGTTGGTGCAGCTGATCATGGCGCGCTCCCCAGTTGTTAAACATCATGAACTTGCCAGGTGCCTTTCAAGCGCTGGTGGATTTCCGCAGAAACCAGCACTATCATCATCATCATCATCAACATCATCATCATCATCATCATCATGATCATCATCATCAACATCATCATTTTTTGCAACTGCTGACCTGCCAATATCCGCTTGAACCCATTTCTTTTTGCAATTCTGTGGCATTAGCGTTGGAAATGTTGGTGAGCTTGAGCGAACATGAATGATAGAAACTGGATTAACAAATAGTGGCACACGGATGAAACATTTCATGAAAGTGGATGAACACAGATTGATTTCCCCGTCCAAGCACTTGTGGGCCGATGGATATGTTCAGCCTATTGTCATATGCAATTGCAGCACATTGAAGCAGCTTCTGCTGACAGTGCGTTGTCAACGGCTTTGTTTTCGGCTTGCCGAAGGATCTCCAGGTCCGAATTGGGAGGTAGAGAAACGAAGCAGATTCAATCTGTGCAGTGACGGGTTGAAGTTTTGCCGCCCAGCCTTGATTTCAGGGGCATTTCCAGGTAAGCGTGCGTGTTTGAATTGCAGGTCATGCGGGTTTTCGGCAATTCCTTGCGAGGAGGCACGCATGTTCGATGTATTTTATGTCAAGCAGATGTCGACTCAGTATACTATGAACATCTTGGAATTGAAGTGCAGCTTGTTGCAGGGCTAAGCGCAATCTGGTTTGTCTACTATTTGGCAATGGCCCGGGAACCTTGAGAAGGGAGTGGCATGCGTGCGATTGCAACTGTAACCACTTCAACCTCGCCTTTCTTTTATTGTCAGAGTCGTGAAAGCCAAGGTCACGGTCTATGCTTCTGTTTTGACCGTTTTGATCTGAGATTTGAGCAGCTAATAGTTGAGAGCTTTTGGGCATGTTTGTATGAGGCAGTATCCGTGCGATTACGCTAGCAACTCAGGTCTTTATGGCCAGGTATACCAACACCGCAAAAACTGCAACCGGTGGACGGCTAAGTCACTGGGAGTTTGGGAGCTGGACACAGCTGGACACAGCTGGACATAGGACATTTGTGTAGGGGCTTTGGAGCAGCGGCCGTCAGATGGCGTCAGCTCAGGTGCTGGAGCTTGGTTTGCTTAGCGGCGTAGCAGGCGTAGCATTGCATAGAATTGCGATGAATTGCATAGCCGGTGTAGTCGCACCTCGCCTCGGGCAAAGGTCCTGAAGCGAAGCAGCGCTTGCAGATTGGTGCGTCAATGAAAATGTCAGTAAAGGTTGATAATATCAGCTGATAGAGTCTATAGACATTATAGAGAAAATCCAAACCCACCGTTGAAACAGTTGAAACATGACTTTGTTCAAGGCCAAGAAACAAATAAAATACACGCGTAAATGAAATCTCTGCATTTGAATCAGTAGGAGAGCCTTCAGAATCATTTGTTGCACTGGGACTGCAGGCATAGAGATGACATAGAGGGCTGTGTTTACGCCGCTCGGAAGACATACGTGGTCCTTTTTTGTGTATCCAAGCACTTCTGCTTATGTGTAAAAGAACCTGCTATCAAGCGGGATGTTCCAGGTCATATACTTCCCGATCGATTTGCATCGGGGTTGTGGACAAGTTTCCATCGTTGACCGCAATGAAGTCATTGGTGTAAACTCATGTAAACTCATAGCTTGCGCAATGCGTCTGGTCCCTGCCACATTACTTCCCTCTGAAGTTGCCGTCCACCACGTGCAAGCTCCCCTGCAGCCTGGATTCCATGCTGCATCCTGGTGCATGGCTCTTTGTAATGGTCTGGCATGCCTATAGCATTTTGTATTATTCTGACTTCTTTTCAGACACGTAGCATGCCACTGTGGTTTGCTTTTCGGCTTCATCAGTTGCTTGGGGTGTTGGGAAGCCAGAGACAAAAGTTGCAGGAGCCGGCAGAGTTTTCCAGACCTCGATGGGATGAACTTCTTTTGGCCTTTAGCGCACCCCGGAACCATCTTGACCATTTTATACAGTACTCGAGATTTGGTTGATACATGTTGATAACTTTCAGAGAGTTTTTTCAATCTGGGACTGAACGTGCAGTATGCGCAAGCAAATGGAAACATGGAAACACCATCGCCAGGAACGATGAAGCTTCGGCGCAGTTCCTGGCTAGCCCGTGCGGCAGGGTACTTAGTGCAAGCCAATTGCATTTGCTTTAGCACATTCAAGGATGGAATCCGGATAGAATACAGTAGAGATGAATAGAGGAGGGAGCCTTGGAGAAACAGAAGGGAGAGGCAGAAAGAGAGAGACAGAAGGAAGACCATGTCCGACATGTCCTTTTGCATCAGGCAGTTTTGCTCACAGCAGCAGCCTCATGGGTGGCCCGTGACATGGCTTGACGCACCAGAATCCTCTGGACTTTCAAAGTGATCCTTGCAAAGCAAAAGCCGTTCAAGCCAGGATTAATATGTTGAATATTGTTGAATATGTTGTTGTCGTTTCAATGCCAGGTTTTCGGCAGCAGTTTCCTCTTTATCGGACCGCTCGCAAGTCAGTCTCTGCCCGTTGTTGGAGACTAAGCGGATTTAGCCCATTGCCATGGTCGCTAATACATTTTGCCATGTGCAAGACATGCAAAATCTGGTGATCTCGTTCTTGCAGTTGAGGCAAGTCAGCATGGCCAAAGTGACAGAGGTCCATGAGATACGTCAGAAAATGTCAGAAAGCATCTTTACTTCATGAGCTCCGCACGGGTCACACGCATGAGTGCTACAGTGCTTTCGCTGGAAGGCTCTCTCATCAGCCGGCATGCAAGAGAAGTTGATGAGGAGGCTTTCCTTGCGTCGTTAGGGAGAGTCCAGCTCTTGTAATATTGTGTTCGCTGTTTGTATCTTGATTCTCAGGAAGTGCTTTTCAACTTCAGAAAACCTTCGAAGAAGAAGGGTTTTGATCCAAACTGGAAGGTGCAACCCGGTGATTCTCAAGCACTGGCATCATTAATCTTGGCTTTCTGACTCACATTGATTCTACATATGCCCTGTGCCAGCGACCGTTCCCAAAGTACATCGTGATGGGCGGCGTCATGATGACATTCATTGGTGGTGCCCACAGGTCATAAGCAGATTCTCAGACAATGCATAAAACGTGGTGAATTTCATTCCAAAAAATATCAAACTTTGAGCCCAAACTGAGGCTACCTTGGAGGTGGGCCTGGACCTCAGATCTTGAACCACTCTAGACCGGGGAGAATGCCGTTTTTATATGTTTTTATCATCAGATGTTGCTGACAAGCACGGGATTGACAACTTCATGTTCTATCGTCTATTGTTCTATCATGTTCTATCTATCATTCATTGTTGATACGGCATACTGCAATATACTTCATACATCTATATTCTCTTTACAATGGCCTGCACGCACTTTCCATGTATTTGTGTGATTTGGATCAATACTTTGGAGACTCTTTGGAGTATGGGTCGTTCTGAGTCTCAGGCCCATTCTTTCAGCTGTCTGGGGCTTGTGCGGCGCAGGATTCGGGCGCCTTGGCTGCAAATAGGCTATTCTTTAATCACCTTTAATTGCTTTGAGTTGGCAGCAGCACGCAAGACCAAGCTCAGTTACACTAGTGCCGCGCGACTTTGGATAGGTGTTTGTTTGAGCCTTGGCAGACAGCAGATGGCACAATTAGCGGCCTTTACGACGAAGATGATGAAGATGAGGATGATGATGACTAAGCCACTTGGCATCACTCCGCTTTTTACTTTTCAAACATTTATTATTCATTTGTTCACATTTCAAGTAATTCGAACATATTTCAACACTTTCGTCTTGGTCCTGGATGTTGGCCTTCCAAGGTCTACATTGTCTACATAATATTCACATGTGTTGAACAGATTTGTTTGGTAAGTTTAGTACAGAGCAATCTTAGTACATATTTCTTTGTAAATATTACTTACTTGGTATATCTGTAATTCTCTGTATAACTTTGTCATTGACTTCTGCAATCATTGCTGAAGTCTTCAAGGCTCAGAACCTTCTACAGCTTGCATTGCGTCTTGGTTTTTGAATGTTTTGAATTCCTCTCAAGAATCCTTGCCGCATGGCTTTTGGTTTGTCATCGGAGAAGCTGCATGCTCTGTGACATGAAGAGCAGAATGTTTATTCAAGTCGACAATTTGACAATTCGGTTCCTCTTAGATTCCTGTCAACCGTATAGTAAAATCTATGACGTGTCGCCAGGGTCGGGAAAGAAAGAAACCAGCTCGCTTTTCAGGTCCGCGAGCACTGAATATGGTTCTTGAGCTGACTCTGCTTCCAACTGACTACCACGAGGAAGCCTGCAACTATTTAAACGACTGGCAATTGCCAGCCGTGCGATTGTGTAGTTGTGTTTCTCATGCTGATGAAATTTTCAGTGCACACCTTTCAGCATACTCGTAAGCAAAAGTCACCCTGCCAAAAAACAAAAAAACGAGAGAGGTACTGGCATGATCTGGCATGAATCTGAAGAGGTAATCAAGTGGGAACAATTGTGCGGAGATTTGGGCATAGATTCCACCTGATTCGCATTTTGGTGGGCTCAAAGTTTTCTCATCAGGTTGGCCTATCCGAGTTTCTGAGTGCGTCAGCTGGGAGCTTGGCTTCGGGGCTCTTGGTCTATAGCCTATAGAAGTTGCAAAAGTGCTGCTATTTAGGTTGACTTCTTACATCTTCTTGTGACCTATTTTCTTCCGAGCGTTCAGAAGACATGCCTTCTTCGTTCAGTTCACTTTAAACTTAATAAACTTGAAACAGTTTTAAATTGTAAACAAGTTCAAACTTTAAACATCTTTAAACATTGAAATCGACTTGACATTTTGTCAAGGCATGGCTCGGTTGGCAGTTGGAGCTGTTGGCCTTGCTGCACCTGTCTTTGTTTTCCCAGGCCAGGGCCACACAATTGAACGTGTGCAGCGAGATCTAACGATACTTTATGATGACTTTATGATACTTGTATCAAGTTCGATGATATTCGATGATATTCGTATATATTTGCTTTTCTTCAGCTGGAAGTGAAGCAACACCCTCAGAAATTACCATTCAAATTCTCGTTGTTCATGCTTCAAAGTCCGGTCAAAACTGTCTGAAGGTGCAGCGCCTCGCCCTTCTCAGTGCCTCTCCCAAACTGGATGCTCTTGATTCGTGACACTAACTTCAGATCGAAATGATGATGCAAACGAAGACTCATAAGACTTGTAAGTACTTTCACGACTTTGGTCTCTGCAGTTCTGCACTGCCCGATGTTTCGACTTTTTAAGCACAAAGGCTTCGGGGCAACTCCGCAGTCCAGGCACATTGCATGCACGCCACCAGTATGGTGGTACAAGTATGCCGTTTTTGCAAACAGCCACCTGTTTGCACACAACATCTATGCCTTCAAGCACCACCTTTTTGTCTACAATGTCAAGCCCCAAAAGTCTTTAAGCAAATTCACAAAGGAGCCTAAAGGACGCCTGGTTATTGATTTGGTGGTCTTCACCCCCACCCCAAGGCACGTGGGTGCAACTTCATAGGAAGCCAACTAACCTCAACTGCACCCACCAATTATCGCATATTATCGCATTCCACAATTTACCACAATTCTTGTAGCAACAACTTCAACAAATGCGATGCAACTTCCATTGCCACAGAAGCCACTCTGGTATTTGTCTTGCTTATATTGATCCTGCGCTGCTCTGAGCCACAACGAAGGCCAACAAAAAATGTCAGATCATATATATATATGATAGGTCTAGATGTGCTCTTGCGTTCCCCGTTCCTTTTCGCCGCATGGTATGGCTCTCCTCCACACACTGACGCACTGACCATGCGATTTCGGTCTATGCTTTGCAGGAAAGAGCTCCACAAGGTGGTTCAACATGTTCAACTTTGGGCCTCGCAGCAGCTGGCTCCACTGTTTTGGCTGTCGCGCCTCGACTTCATGCTTTAAGATCTTTAAGTGTGCAGATTGTGTGCAGGTTGTTCAGCCTGTGAAGACGATGTTTACATTTCTCTTGTGAACGAGGCCGCCAGAAGAAACAAGTCCAGCAAACTCGTCAGGAAGCTTGGCCAAGGCAGTAATCAATTGTCAATTCAAGCAAAACCAAAAAACCAAAGCAGAGAATTAATATGAATTAATCAAATCGATTCAGGGAATTTCAATGAATTTCAGGGGTGTGTTGATTCTTGTACTGGTTCGCAACTTCCAACTGCACTGATTCAAATCTGTGCTCTAAGATCTTTAAGCAATTCCAATTGCCTCAGGAACTTTTTTGGCGACTCATCAGCTAGCACGGGATTTGACCCGGCAAAGCAGCTTGGAGTTCAGGATCCCATCGGCTTCTGGGACCCTTTAGGGCTGAGCGCTGACAAGGATGAGGCGACATTCAAACGTCGCCGAGCCGTGGAAATCAAGCATGGACGAATTGTCGGATGCCCAGTACAAGTCTTTACATGTTTCATGTAAGCGCAACCTCATCATCTTATACTGTATCATACACATCCACAATTATAAATGCGAATAGATTCCATGCAGATTCTATTCAATTGGATTCACGGACGTGTGCCTCATGTGCTGGAGTACCAAGGCTATGTATGCTACCATTGGATACATCGTGCCAGAGTACTACAAATTCCCTGGATTTTTGTCGCCTTCTCTTGGTATCAAATTCTCTGACGTTCCCAATGGATTGGCAGCGCTGTCAAAGTTCCTTCAATGACAAGTGTGGCACATGTTGATTATCTCAAGGTTTGTTTCTTTGAGGTGACTTTCCTCTCGCAACAATGTATCTTAATGTATCATAACGATTCATGATGTATCTACAATAAGATATTTTGCTTTGAAACTGCAGAAACGATTGAATGGCTAGTGAACAGGTTGCCTGTCCTTGGCGGAGCTCAGATCATCGCTTTCTGTGGACTGATTGAGACCACTGGCTTCTTTCAAGCAGCATCCACTACAGATGGCAGGGGTCCAAGGGAAGGACAATTCGCCATGAAGGACTCCACAGAGACCTCAGAGCCTGGCAATTATGGTGTTGGCTTTCCAACTTTCATCGGCAAAGTTGAAGATCCAGAGGCACGAAAAAGCAAGCTAAGTGCTGAGTTGGCAAATGGACGTTTGGCGATGATGGCTATTATCGGTATGTTTTTCCAAGATGGGCTCACTGGATCAGCTTGGGGAGATTGGTCTCTGTACACGTCATCACCTTTGCGAGCCGAAGAGTCCGAAGAGAAGGAAGCGCCTCCGCCTCCACCCTTTGATCCGCGTCTTGAAGTCGGAGTGCTTCCTCCTTTGGATTACTTTGCTCTGAGCTCAGTGTGCGTTGAGGGATTCAAGTGATGTTTTGTTGAGTTTTGTCATCACTACATTACATTTCAATGCCAACCAACATCCTGGCACTAACAGGCATTACTTTTCTGATCTTTTCTGGTTGTGTGACACCTGTTTGCGGACTTATGTTGCCAAGGACCCAGCCGGCTTTTGCAAAGTGGGAGATGAGGCCCTCGGGACTTTGATTTGCAGTAGATTCTTCATGATTCTTCAATTGTGCGTGTTCATGCACAGAATACATCTGCACAAAGACATGAAGGATTCAAATTGAGTCCTTGTTCGTTGGAAAGTGCTCAATTTTGCCAAGCTTCTTCAACGGATGTTGATCCAGTCTTTGGATTGCTTTGACTCCACCTCCTCAAGGAAGGCTTCAGAAACTTGAGAGCCGCAGAGATCAAGCATGGCCGAGTAGCCAAGGCCTTAGTCAGTCTTGCATTTCGATCTTGAACATAGAACCGCAGTCTTTTTTTGTTCGGTCAGAGATGGTCAGAGGGTTTCATCATGTTTTATCGCAATGGCCGCAATGGCCGTAGTGGCATCAGACTGAGCTCCTTGCAACCTGCGCTAAGGCAATGATGGCAGCCTTGGGCGCTGCAGTACAGGCACTTCTGGCCATATGGAAAGTATGCAGTGGAACGTCGTTATTCAAAAGCCTAATACGGTAATCTAATATATATATAATATGTGATATAATATATACGTATACAGTATGTTATATAGTATATAATATATATATACAATATGTTTTATATTTAAAATCTTTGTATATATAATATGTTATAAAGCAATATACGTATATATATATAATATGTTATAATATTATATATATATATCTATAATATGCTATAATATATATTCTATATAGTATGTTATATAATATGTTATTTTATTATTTATATAATATGTTATATAGATAATATTTATATTTACATACATAACATTATATATAATATAGTTATACATATAATATATAATATGTAATATATAATATTTAATATAATATGTTATAACATATATGTACACAATATCTTAATATATATATAATATGTTATAATATATATATATATCTAATATGTTATGATATACATACATATATATATATAATATGCTATGGTATATATATATATTTAAAATGTTATGATATACATATAATATTTAACATAAAGTATGATATGCATTATATGTTATATATATAATTTGATATAATATATATAGTATTTAATATAGCAAAACATAGTATACAATTATAATGTGCTAATATCATACGATATCAAAAGGTATGGTATTATTTGATGATATATAGAGTACAAGATCGATGTAATTTAGTTTCCTTGAACCTGTCGGTTCTACTCCTCCAAAGATGCCCTGCTATTTCCTGATGCGCTTTCATGAACTCGCTGTGCTGAGTTCTGTTTGTGCACAGTTCTGCCAAGTCAAAGTTGTCGGGAATTGCCAGGCTGCTGTGCAGGTGTTCGTTTCTTTGATTGCTGTTTTCATTCTTCCACCTCTTATGTTTGATGCAACCAAACATCGGCTGGCAAATCAGCAGCTCTACATTCCCTTGGGCAGGAATTCTCTGCTGCTTCACTGTGGCAGCTGTTGCTCCTCTCCGCCTGTTTTCTGTCTCTTTCTGTCTCTTTCTCTCTTTCTGTTTGTCTTTGGCATTTTTACATGATAGCGCTTGCCCTGACCTTCTTGGTGCGAATGCTGTTATTGGGGAGGTAGTAGTCAAGCAAGACAGACGACTCAACTTTGGGGAGTATTTTCTAGTTGGCTAAGTTGGCTATATTCGTTAGAAAACTTTGGTTTGTTCACTTCAACGCTCTCAAGTGTTCCCGCTGCGCAGCACTACGCCCAATTCCCTGGTTTCGAAGAAGTGCCAACTGGCATTGGAGCTGTCACAACAGCGCGCTTGTCTCAGCTTCGGCTGCACCCTGGTTCGATTCTCTGATATTGATTGACGACATTCGTGATATTTGTGATATTCGTGGTCCCTAAATGTGTTCGTGTCGCATCGTGTCGCTATGTGTTGCTTGGTGAGGCCAGGAACCTATGGTTTTGCGGCGCTTTTCTTGATCAGCGGAGTGCAACTTTGCTGCACAGACATCCAGGATCACATCCAGCTTCCGCATGAACAGTTCTCCAAATTTTTGAAGGCCATCGGAAAATTTACAAGTGAGCTATTAATATAGAGCTGTATAGGTAGAAACTCTGGCTATTTGAAAAAGGGCCTACTTAGATGCAACTAGCATGTCAGCTTTGGCAGTGATCTCAAGCAGTTTCAAAACTGGCTTGCCCTTTGATTCCTGCGAATCGGCACAGTTGGAGGGAAAACTGTTGCATCTGTTGATTAAAAAGGTTGCATGGCTTCATTGCTCCGCCCTAAGGTTGGAGTTGGCTTTGTGGACCGAGGACTTTCTTGCGTTGCTTGACTCGAGAGCCAAACTGAGAAAGATCGAGCAAGACTATTAGCCTGTGCGACAAAGCATAAAAATATTTGCCGAGCTTCAAAGCATTTGTGCGTCTTGTGCACAACTTGTGCACAACTTGTGCACAACTTGCGCACAACTTGGAGGACTCTAGCAAGGAGCCAGGGAACTTCGGAGATCCCCTCAATTTGGGCCAGTACGACATTGACATGAGGCCAGTTTTAAAAGTGGAAAGCACAGAGCATTGTTTGCAGTATCCTTGGCGGATGCAGCCATTTCTGACTTCGACATGCTCAGCGATCACAAGCATAAGAATCATACAATGGGATTCTGTTTGATTTCTGGGAGCTCCTGCAAAATGTTCAGCCTCAATGTTCTCCGCTTCGTCAAGAATTCGAAGTTGCTTAGCCATTCCATTTTTGGTCAACACAAACTAGCTCGCAGCATTTTGTACAGGAACAAGGAGCTGAACAATGGCCGATTTGTCTCCTGGCTGCAAACATATAAATAGATGACTGCAGAATACTGCTTCTGGTCGTGTCTAGTCAAAGACCGTGACATATGTCACGACACGTGTCACCCTCTGTCCCCAACTGCTTCAGTTGATCAGGCCATGTTCGCTGCCGTCGGCATCATTCTGGCCGAACTCTACACTGGCAAGGTGGGACTGGTGGGACCATCGTCACCTGACAGACTGTCACCTCATCTTAAATTGTCTTGCCATGTCTTGCCCCCCATTCCCTTGCTCTTTATATCTCTTTACATCTCTTTACATCTCTTTACATGTCTTTACATCTCTTTACATCTCTTTACATCTCTTTACATCTCTTTACATCTCTTTACATCTCTTTACACTGTGTAGTCCTTGCAGTCCTTGCGATTCCAGGATGGTATTGACCAGATTGGCCTCGACACTCCAACGCTTTGAGCAACTTGAGAATTTGATGTGCGGCGCTGTTGGTCAATGCTCCTTGTGTAGGGGCGTGTCAGAGTGGAAGCAACATGGTGAAGGGCATTGGCCGCCCTTTCCTTGCATGAGATAGATTGATTATGATTAGTTCATTTTCGCACTACATTGGCGCGAACCAATCGTGCTTAGATGTTTGCCACAATTCAAAAACTCCAGATTTTCGCCTCCGGAACCTGAACATGGAAAACAAGATAGCTAGCCTCGGTGCGTGGGAGGTGGAGTGCATTGACGGTTCGTGATGCCAACTAGAAGATACTGTACAAGTACACTCAGCAGGACATTCTCCAGTATCTCTTTCCATGCTTACTGTACATCGTGGTCAATCACCACGGAGTAAAGAAAAGGAAGAAACAGCAATGAAAAGCAATGATTGTTCGGCTTGTTCATGGAAAAACACTCATTGATTAGAGCTTTCTAGTATGGCTTTGGCTGGCTCGTGGTATACAACATGACATTCAAAGGAGTGAACAGTTAGAGGGCCTCGAAGAAGGCGTTGTTTAATTTATTCACCAGTGCGGGCCATGCAATGCAATCTTTGAAGATTTTTTGCTCAAGTGTGCTGGGACGGACACAGTGTCGCAAGGCTCCTACTTTGATGTACTTTGGATATCTTTTGGATATCTTGGTGGCCGCATGAAGACAGGACTCACCGCAGTTTGGAGTCGCCAGGATGGCCAGAAATGCCATGGACGACCTGCTTGGGTTGCGCTGTCACGATTTGCGGGTTTGTAACGCTTTGAGAGAAGTTCAGTCCAGATCACGGATCCTCGTGATTTTTTTACTTTTTTTCATGCCATCATGGAAAGGCCGCCGAGCACTGGGCAGCAATATGGCCAACAGCCTCCCAGTTGCAATATGCTATAAATATGCTGCAATACAACGAGATCTTCCCACAGCATCGGTACTAACCGAAATTACATCTTTCTATTGAGATCTATTGAGCTCTACCTCGATGCATATTTGTTTCCTGAAAAGCTTGAAAAGCGAAGTGTCTGGAAAGAGCTAAGGCAGTATGTGCCGGGTAGCGAGTACTACACTCCACCTCCTGCACCAGACCCAGGTGCCTGTGCTTATGGAGACTTGGAAAGGAATAACATAAGCAAGGAATAACAAAAGTCGTACCAGATGAGATTATGATACAATATGTGAGATAGGTATAGATAGGTAAGCGAGTAAAGCAGATGAAACACGATGAAACCAATAAAAAACAAAAAAGTCAAAAGCACATGCAGTCAAGTTGGCGCAAACCTGGCGCGGCTATGGACTTCCGGGCGCTGAAAACACATAGAGCAAATGGCAACATGAAGACGGTGCTTCCCATGGCAAACTATCCAGCATTTGAATGCATTTGACAGCATCTTTATGGTGGCTATTGGATGCGACAGCGAGGATTGCAAGAATCGTATGACCTTGAAACTGTTTCAAGATTAGGTTGTTAGTTGCTAGGCAATAAGACATGGATCGTTTGCAAGCGCCAAGCAGTGTTGGATAAGCTGTGTTGAACAACTAGAATCTGCAGCAGCCATGGCCGCGCAACCTTCGGGTTGCGGATTCTGCAGCGGGATAGAGGCTTGGCCAGTGCGGCCTTGAATTAGGAAACGGATCTGATCTCTGCTGTGTGTCTTTTAATCCTGTCAGTTCTGCAGTTCTGGTGAGACTTTCATCCTGACATTTCTGCTGCCCATACCCTTGTTCTTGCGTTTTGGTACTAGGCGATTGTAAATTGGGCGACTCCCAAGAAAAAAGAAAAGAAGGCCTGGGTGGGCAGTGCGGCTGGACGCTGCAGTTGTTTTGTCTGAATCATCGGCCAGGGATCGCTGGCCATTACCTTTCATCAAGTTGGGGGTGCGTTCGCAATCATCCTTATATCATCCTTATATCATCCTTATATCATCCTTATATCATCCTTATATCTTATTTAAATCTGAAATGAACGTCTCATCATTTTGCAACACGGGCTCTGGCTCCGTGTGTGTTTCCAGACTAGACCAGGCCCCTGGACAGTGGAGAGTGGAACAGGTCTTTTTCTTGGTGCAGCTGTGAACCAGAGCTTCAACGGTTGACTGCCACAAGGGGTTCTAAGTGTTCTTCATGGCTTTTTGGATGACCATGTTGTTGCCTCAAGCACACTGGGCTGGTCGCAAATTGCAGCTATTGTTGCTCGCGGTAGTTTGCCCCTAATTAAAACAATCACATTTACTCGGCCCTGCGTCAGCACAAGAATTACTAACATTCTACCTGGTGATTTTGCTGGTAACTTGACCAAATCGAACTTTTCGGGTTTTTGGGTTTTTGGTGGCGAGTGGTGACTTGTTTGGAGGCACCATTTTCCCTTCCCTACCTCCTCGGGAAGGTGCCGGAGATGAGGGGCTTAATGTCTTTGCGCAAGGACATTCATGGGCAGCCTTTGCAACTGTCTTAGCGTTGGGGCCCCTCCGATGCAAACGGCTTGTGCTACTTAAGTATCTTAAGTTTGAAGCCATTCAAAATAGAGTCACCCAAGATCCAACGTTTGCCATGCGTTCAGCCGCCTTTCTGTTGAAATTTCATTGTCTTGGGAAAGTCCACTTGCGCGGTTCTACGTGGCACGGTGGCAGTGATGATGCAACATTTGCATCTCTTCAGCCATCACTCATCACTGGCCATTTTGCTGAGTTTGGCTTCCCGAGAATTACAAGAGTTTAGGCTGTCCCAGTGGTTTGATCAATGCTGATCTGTAGGAAGCGGCGAATTCAAGCTGCTCTGCTGTCGCTGTTACCCGGTTACCCAAATTTTCAGGCTGGCACGATGCAGCCCGACCGATCGCCCAAGGCCTGGTGTTCTTAACATTGTGGGCCGAGTTGGTTCAGTTGGGGGTTTTGATCAAGGCCAAACTGTGTCCGTGAAATAGGTCACCCAAGACCTGACAGAGATTTTGGAACAGATGCAATATATTTCCATATATTTCCATTTTATTTATATAATTATATATATAATATATATATAATGCATAGTTGGAGCAAACCGACTCTCCAACTTCTGATGAGTTACTGTAACATCCACTATGATTCACATAGTTGACGCAGTCGAGGCCCAAAGAAAGCCATTCGATGCAAGTTCCAGACCGATATTGGATCCGTGGCTGCCACTGGCGGCGTTGGTTGCGTTGGCCTGTGTTGTGGGACGAGGAAAGGTTGCCGCTGAAAAACGATACGTTTGCCGGGCTCAGTGGCTGATGTGATTGCGACAGGGAGGTCGTGATGAGTGCCTGATGCTGTTACGATTGGGTGTGTTGCCTTTTTGGGTGGTGTTAATAGGTTTTAGCAGGAATGCATGTTGAGTGACATGCGCTGAAGTGCAGCATGTCTTGTAAGTATCACGACCCCATGGTGTTTGTTGATGCATGTTTACATATCCACCATGACGGAATGAATTGAACTGATTTGAACGGTACATGGGTTGGGTTCGTATGCGGATTGCTTGCCGATGCTTGCCGTATCTTTTTTGTTTTTTGTGTATTGCGCTAGTGTAAAATTATGTTCACCTCCAGTGTTGTCCTCGGATTGATAAACCTCTGGGTCGTTTCACTCGGGGGGCGCCATTTTGGCACTGGATTATCCGCTATTTGGGGGGGTTACTCAACCAGGGCTTCTGAATCCCGGGTTGATATTGCAAGAGTATAATCTTGGTAAGACCACGTTGCCTCAAAGCTGGAAACCAACTGCCAGGCTGAAGAGTTGGCTGAAACCCCGGAACCTGAGGCGCGACAGAATTGGTGATTGATTGGTAGATCCGTTAGGTATATTGGTATTTGGTATACCAATTGGTATATTTCAACAAGTATACCTCAAATCCATTGCCGGTGTCTCACCTTTTGGTATATCCGCTGTCCATTAAATTTCTGCTGAATTCCAATCGTTATTTGGTTGATTGTGGTTCCCTAACCATAAAACAAAAATGGGAAGAGAATCTGGCGCGCCCACTCCATTTTGAAACATACTTAAGTGGAATAAATCCGCGCACCTTTCGCCTGAAATTGAACGTGGGACCTCCCTTGCAGCCACAGACCGCATTGAAGCAAAAAAACTGTGGACCCCACGAAAACAAACTGATGCAATTACCATTGAAAGTTCACAGCGAAAATGCAATGTCATGAGGCGATTCTAACTGAAATGCAACATGTGACCGTCACAAGCTGATGTTGTGGCAAAGGTATCACCTCCAATCACGTCAGCCACCGAAGCGCTCGGAACCGAGAACCACTCGTTCTACGGAATTAGCTGCTTATCAGGGTTTTTCTTATGTTCGGATATGTTCGGTTTATTTCCCCAAATAAGGGAACACCCATGGGATCCAACTTAAAACCCGCTGGATAAATTTTGTTGGCAATTCTCCTGTATCGATCTGATTTGGGACCTGAGAAGGTTCACCAAATCGGTTCATCAAGTCACAGGTCGCATAAGTCGCGAGTGATCTCAGGTTGGATGAGTTCTTGAAGGAACGAGCCCCAAATGTTTCACTTGGCTGAGATATGCTGAGATGCGGTAATCGTACCGTTTGAAAAATGGACGCTGACTTTGGGGAATTGGGTGGGGTGCAGGCTGCAAAGCTGGCAACAGGTTTAGGCTGCAATTGTTTGAAGGCTGCATGCGTGCATGCATACTCACATAGATTACAGTACATTACATTACATTACTGTACATTACATTGCATTATATTGCATTACATTGCATCACATTGCATCACATTGCGTTACATCGCATTACATTGCATTACATTGCATTGCATACTGTAACATACGTACAGTTATTACATTACATTACGGTACATTACAATACATTACATTGCATATTTATCATACATACGTATATACGCATATATATATAATTATATATATATATATTATACATATTTATCTGCCGTGCTTGATTTGTTTTTTGGTGCCCAACCACTCCATCTTCGTGAGCTGCATTCATGTTGTCGCAGGGAAAACTGTGGACTTGTCCGGCGCTGGTGCATCATATGTTACTCCACAGCCCAACGCTTAAGCTGAGGAGCAGTGTTTTCACACATGATTTGTCCTGATTCACGTGCACACACATTAGCTTTGTCTACAGGCGACAGCATGCGCTCTTGTCTTCGTCAGTCAGTCAAGACAGCAATTTTACCGAAGTGTGGGGGGATCAAAGAAAATTATGCAATGACCTGAATAGGAAGGTCACAAAACAAGAAACTCTTTGAATGCGAGGGTTAAGTCCAATGCGATCGCAACATTTTCTTGGTATATCCGGACTCCTGCATCCGTTTCCTTCGAGCGTTAGGATATGTTTGGATAAACTGTGAACCTTTTGAACGTTTGCTGAGGCCGGGTCCAAGCTTTCGACCTTCCAGCGGTCCAAGCAGGTTCTTGCCAGTTGGTAGAAGCATTGCCTTTTCAGTTCATGACAAATGACATGGAAAGGAAATGGAGATGACATGGAAACGATGGATTCTTGGATTGTTTGTCTCAATGCCAATGACAAGCAGCTGTGCGTCAGCTTGAGTGGCGGCAGCAGCAGCACCGGCTTTGGACCGCGCGGGCCAAGCAGTTTTGAAGGAGGCAAGGTTTCAGGTGGTTTGAGGACATGCCGACATGCCCTAGGGATCCCTTACAAATCTAGTACTTTGCAATGCAGCGAAGGGGCAGTGTTGTGTTGCTTGTCATCCGTTTGACTCTGGGAACGCAGTTACATGTTTGGAGAAAATCCCTGCGTGTCTTTGCAGGTGCAGGTCCATCGTGTGCGCCTCAAGACTTTGCAACTTTGGATTCTACAAGCACGGTGTGAAGCAGAGCCATAGTACAGCCACTGAGACCATGACTTCAATGCTCCCAGACGCTCCCAGACGCTCCCAGGCTATCCTTGGCCAGCCTCAGTCCGAGCGCTATCATGCAGCAGCTGACGTCTCGTCCGCTGACAGAAGTGGTGAGGACCTCAGCCTGAAAGCTTTGCAGCTTCGAAGGTCAAGTGTGTCCTCTCTGTTCTGAGAGGACATGATACCGCACCAATGTTCGCATCAGAATGAATACCGTTACAGTCAATTACATACCCTCATAATGAATCATAATGCCAGATTCCATATGACAAGTGCATCACAAGCATATTTAATAATTCGAATCATATATGTATTCCTCTGTTACCTGGTTGAGTCAGCATCAGCTTTTCCTCTTCTCTCACAGCACCCCCACTTTTCCCAAGCTGGTCAAACCGAGGTGGCAGAGAATGGACGGGCCTTAATGCAAGTACCGCGGTATATGGCAAGAGCGTGCGCCAACTCATTTGCTTGACACAACTTCCAGCAGATGCCAGCAGATTCCAGGAGCCTCATCTTTGCACACGTGTGCTTTACATTGCTTTACCTGTTGCCTGGATCACCTGTCAGGTACAGTGCAGCTGCTCGGCGGTACCTGCGTCCATGGAACGAGTACGAACCTCGAACTTGTCTTGAAGAGCCAAGCCAAACAAACTATTTCTGCTGTCAAAGTTTGACCGCTCTTTGGCACAAAACAGCGTCTTCCACCCCCACCTTCTCTACCTTCTCCACCTTTCAAAGCGTTCAGACTTTGTCCTTAGCCTAAGTTGTGCCAAAGTTCGATACTCAGGTTTGGCAGGATAAATCCTCAAAGAGTCATTGAGGCCCTATCAAACTGACTTGAAACGCATGATGCATCTGCAAGCCTCAAGCTACGCCTTGTCGCCTTGTACGTGAGGGTGTTCGGCAAGCTTCACGCCGTGGAGAGATCCAGGTCTACTTACAACGAAACGTGACTAAGCTGAAGTGAAGTGCAGCACATCTATGGATTTCCCATGATTCAGCATGATTCAGCATGATTCAATCACATGTCCAGAAGTCGCCCTATCTTTACGATAAAATCAAGGTGATCGCCAATGCTCGGCACTTTTGCCAGGGGCCAAGCAAACCGTCACAAGTCAAAGTCACGTAGTGCTGTAATGCTGATTGCTTGCTGTAATGATTGAATATGCTTGAAATTCGACAGCAAGAAGAAGAGGGGCAATGCCACTCAAAAGGTAAGGTTCTGAAATGTTGCGAAAGTCAGAGCAGAAGTAAGGCCCCAACTACGCCTTTATCTTCTTGGCCATGCTCTTCATGGTGCCGAGAAGTTGCTTTGACCATGTGAGACTCATATGACTCCTGTGGCGTGTCCTAAGTGGAGCTTGTACATCGACGCATATCGACGCGCCGATGCCAGTTTGTTTGCACATCGCCTATGCTTCTGATGATGTGCGGCTCTCATCTGCTGCTTTGCGCATACATGCCATGCTTGCGCCATTGACACAACCCACTGCCAAGAAATGCCAAGTTCATGCGCATTTGATGCATTTGCTTTGTGTGGTGCTCATTGATGTCGCATTTGCACAGGCTTGCTGGGGTCGGTGGTGGCTGGTCGCATGCAATGCGAAGTGATCAGCGGGGCCCTCACGTTGGGAAGCAAGACATTGACATGACAATATGTGCAGTGTCGTGCAGCAATACGTGAAGCAACCCGTGATACATGAAACAATGCATGAAACGGTTTGACATGATATTGAACGATTGTTTTCAGGTTCAGAAACCGCCCATGGACCCTGCAGATAGGTCTGCCAGTACCTGCTGCTGTAGCCTGCTTCTCTGTGAAGCATCAGGATCATCAGGGGTGTTTTAGATGCTCTTTTTGTGGCTTCCCCAAAAGTCTTTGCATGTCCTTACTACCATAAAGCCTCAAGCCTTCTTCAGTCGTTTGAGTGTAATTTGGTTTAAGTGCTCAGTGCTCAAGCTGTTGCAAGCAGGAAGTGACATGAGTATTATAGTATATAAAGCAGGTGGTTTATGCCAATCTTGGGTCCCTGGGTTGGAGCTCAAATGACACTTCAATCTCTAGGAATTCCTGTCACCTAGGTATAAGATATATATATATAATTATATATACATGTAGGTTTTTTTTTTTAATGTAGTACATCTAAAGTCTTTGACTCTCTCAACTTTCACGATTCACGGGAATGCCATGCTGCTTTTCTTCAGATCCTCAACGCGAAGTGTCAGATGCGCTCGAGAAAATTTTGGCGCAAAGAAAGGTTTTGCAAGGCCAACGCCACGAACTACGAGTCCGAATCAATGACGCTCCGAAGAAGCTTGACGTCCTGCGTCAGCAAGTCCGAAAGTCCCTCAAAGCCCACGCTGAGATTGTGAGACTTCAACGTTTGTATAGAGCCAAGAATGCCCATGACCGCAATGCAGCAACATCTGCAGCAGCGGCTCTGGCATCGTCACCTTTCTTTGAAGAGGCACGACTTTTAGAACGTATGGGACTGGAGCCAGACATGCCGTGTTTGTTGCTAGAAGCATGGAGCCTTGGGAGCGACTCGGTCTTCTTGGGGGAGCAATGGTTAAATTGGGACTTGCTGAGAGATGAAGCACCGAAACAACGGATAGAAGTGGCCCTTGAGCCAAGGATCCTCCTGTCACGGGAAGATGCAAGGAAGCCAAGTATGCAGTCAACGTGTGGAGGAAGTCTCCTAGGAAGTGGCAACTCCGGCAACTTGTTGTTGCACTTCAGCCAGGATGACACAAGAAGAGACAAGGTGCTTTCCCGTTTACAGTTGTCTTCGAAGCAGCCGTGGAAACAGCCTGCCATTCCTAGCCGTGTGGTATTGAAGATCTGGTCTTGGGGAGGTTCAGCCGAGTGTTTGAAAGCTGAGCCAAGAAGAGCAGAGACACACAAAGATCACAAAGGCCAAAAGAATCTCCAAAAGACTCAAAAGACCATCCAGGCCTCTGGCTTGTCTTGCTGGTTAGAAGCCATCCAGGCTGAAGTCGATGCGAGACAGAAAAAGGACAGAGCCGTGAATGAGAATTGGCTGCAAGTGGGCTCAAGTGGCGATGAAGTGCTAGTGATTGGTAGACACCATGCACTAATTCAGCGATTGCTTGAAGATAAGAAGGAATTCTTGAGTTGTATCTCACGGGAGCACCTTCGGCTGTGGTTTGACTGCAAGAGTGAGATCCTCTCTATCGAGAACCTGAGCAGCAACCAAATAGTAATTCAAAATGGGGTAAGTTCATCTACAGTTCCCGCTGGCAAAGTGGCCAGAGCACAAAGTGGCGACATTCTACGATTCGTCGCTCCTGATTCCCTCCGAAAAGCTGCAAACGCAGATTCGTTTCTGCTGTTCCGCATCGTGGTCCAGAAGCCTATCGCAAGTTGCGGGGGCCGGAAATGCCAAGGAGGAGGGGGCGATTCGTTGTACACCGTGATCACGACTGATGAAACCTTGGAACACCAGACTTTCTGTGGAGGTTGCTGTGCGCAGCTCCATCTGGAAATGTCAACCTTCAAACAAACTCATGCAATACTCCCACCGTCTTGGAAGTTGCTTTGCGAATCTCATGCAGTTGAGGTGGACATCGTGGCCACAGCGGACAGCCATTCAAACGGCAATCCGAATGACACTCAGCCTCC